TTTGAGATAGGAACTCTACATATATATCAGATATATTCAGATATTTAAATGAATTTAAATGTATTTTGTTGTGTATGTTTTTTTGCTTTCCGAGGGAGTCCAGCAAGGTTTGTTTCCAGAGAACGAGACTAGTTGCAAAGGTGGCACCGATAATGGTTTCGAGCTGAGTTGAGCTGTTCCTTCATACAAGGGTGCTCATTTCACCAAAATTATACTTCCTAGATAAGATAAAAGGTGCCATGATTGCAGGAGAGAGACTCATGGAAAGATATGCATCCAACTGGCTGGCCGACAGCTGCGGCGGTTCCATCCAATGCCGACCTTCGATATTGCTGTGGGTTGGTTAGTATGTGTAAGTTTCTTTCGGTGTTGCTATATATTAGGATCTGAGTGAGGGTTTGTGTTCAAAAATGCTTGAGACTAGCGCCTTGGATAAAAATTGACTCAACTGCTTGCGGAAAGAGCTCTATGTGGTATTTTTTGTGGTGGAAAGAGTGGTCATGGCGTGCGCCGTCCCAAGGCTGGCGATGACTAGAGTCAGTTGATCCCTTTTTTTCCATAAAGGAAGAAGAGGATGGCACAGGTGGGAGTGCTGAGGGAAGAGGATGGCACACGTGGCACTCCATGATGGTACTCTTTTGTCAACTCCATTTGGCAGTTGATGACACTTTCTCCCACCCTGTTCCACTGAGCGTGGAACACACGCGACCCGTGTCGGTCGCGACCCAGTCGCATCGAGAAAAGGTCTGGCCCAAAGCAAGCAGCGCATCGGTGCCAGACACTAGGGCTTCACATAATCATACCTTTGACCTTTTTGGGGCTTGTTTTTCCCCACCAATTAAATATGATCAGAAGACCTAGATGGTAGATGACCCCTCGGAATTCGACAATTGGTGAACGACATGGAACTCATGCGTTTGAATGATGTTTGTGTCGAGCAATCAAGCTTGCTGCAGCCATTACTGGCACAAAATCAACTCCTTAGGCCTTTCCACCAGGGCCAAAGAAGGTCCTGGGTTCTTACATGTTCATGTCCGTTTGAGTAAGCCAACGAACTGGCTCGCCCACTGAGCCAGCGATGCGACCATGGGCATTGGTGCTTTTGTTGGGGTGTTTGTCCAGTATCAAGGGTCATCGGCAAACAGAAAGCATGTTGGCGCTCACGGAGGATTCACCAGAGAGGTTCGATCGAGGTGAGAAGGAGGAGGAGGTGAAGAGCAAGATCTCGAATTTCTTTGAGAGTGTGAGTGCTGCAGAGCCGATGGGAGCAGATCAAGAAGGAGTCAAGTCAACAACACAAGCAGGACGTACTCAAGACAGAACACGAGACCTTTGGCTCACGTCGGAGAGAGTTATCCACATGCAACCTGGCCAGATAGGCCTTTGGCTTGACCTGAGCACCGGTATGATTCAAAAGGTCTATGAAGGGACACAGGCTGAAAGGCTTGGCTTCCAGGTTGGCGACTACATCACCAAAGTGGGAACTGCCGGGTTCAATTTAGCAGCCTACCAAAAAGCTACCAAGCAGCAGTCGGGAGGCTATGACATAACGATTGAAAGTCCTTCTCAAGTGGCGCGGGCAGCACAATACACTTTGCTGTTCCTGCTCATGCCGGCGGGAATGGCGGGTTGTTTGCTTATGTTGTTCTTGCCTTACATCATCTCTCAAGGCCTGTTTGGACCGGATGTGGACAGCAAGACACTGACGCAACCGGCAGCGATTCTGCTGTTTGGCACAAGTGTCGCCTATGCTTTGGGGATTTTTGGCGGGTTGTTTCTCAACTGGCGCTATTCGGGTCTAGGGTACAAGATGAAAATAGTTGGAGAAACAATAGGCTTTTCAGGACTTGTGATGGGCTTGTGTTTCAACCGCTGCAATGCTTTACTGAAAGTTAGGCTTCGCAGGGACACTGCAAGTGAGCTGAGAAGTGCATACTCAGCGGCTTTAGTGCTTCCTTGCGGGGTTGCTTTGTTCAGGTTCGTTGGGCAACTGTGGCGAGTTTGGCCAGAAGCCAAGAGCCTGCGCTCGACAGCTCTCCTGCACGTATTCTATGGTGTGAGCGATGTTCCGAATGCATTTCTAGTGCTCCTATTCACTTCGTTGACTTCTGGGATATGCACGACAGCACGGCAGAGAATGCTTGAGGTAAGTGAAGGACTCCCCTGCGAAGCAACACAATTTGCAGAGTGTGTGCACAAACCCTGTGCCGAGCTTCTGCTGGACATTCCTGCAAATTTGGCTCCTTGTGGACTGCCAATCCTACTTCTGATCGTTGGCATAGTGCCAGCCTTCTTCCGTTTCTATGAAACGGCAATGAACCTTGTTGTGTTGTCCAAGCTTGGGCGTGGGCTGCCACAGGACTGGTGTGATCTTGGCTACCACGCCTTTATGCTTGCAGGTTTCACATTGGCTGCTGCCATTGGGCCTCTTCAGCTCTCCTGGGCTCTTCGAGATTTCCAGCGTCGACTCGCAGATGCACGACGGCTTGACAGCAATATGCACGTGCAAGTACAGGCAGTCGAAGCCATTGTGGCATGAGTCAAAACACGTAATTTTATCCCTACTGCCTTTCATGAATCGTCCATCCAAGGTTCCCAGAAGAACTTGTGTGTGTATGTATAAGTGTGTGACATGGTCGGTAGAACAGCCAGCAACTCCAGTGTGACATGTTCAACTTGGGCTCTACCGAACCTTATGGGGATGACTCATGCGATGGCACCCCTTTGCCCATGGTGGTGGCGGCGGTGGTGGTGGTGGGGTATTTGTGCACGAGAGTTCGGGTGCAATCGTGTTGGAGAGATCCAGTTCCCTACAATGTGCCCTTTGCTTCTTTGGGTGTATGCCGTTGAAATGACTGCTGCAAAGCTATTGGTGCACATAAGAAAACACACTCACAAATAACGACAAGAAGACAATCTTCCCCTAACCAGCTGGCTGTGCGACTGTGTCTAGGTTTGTTCACCTGAACATGTTGGCAGACTTTGCCAGGTGAACGATGGGAAAGGCTGGGGGATTCCCGTCTTCGAGGGCTTTGTCCTGACCAAGTCAGTCATGCAAACGCTGTGCCTGCGCCTCCTGCTCGCTGGCACTGTAATCAAGGCTTTCCTTGACACCGAGCTTGGCTTTCACCAGGACTGGACCTATTAACAGGGCAAGGTCTTGAGAAAGCTCTACCTTTTGCTGCAGTTGTTTCGGTTTTGCAGTGCAGATTCCACTGGCTGCAAAGCTTTTGCTGTTCTAGATGGCACCATACATATGTATATATATATTGCTATATGTACGTATATATTCTACTATACAGTATGTCAAGGCATTTTGGCATCACTATAATCTGCGATCACGCAAACAAATATGTTTAGGCAAACCAACTGTGTTTAGGCAAATCAGTTTTTGTTCCAGAGGAGGAGAAGGAGCGTTCTCGCACCCAGCTGGCAACAATTGTGGACGGCTTGCACAATATGACCGGTCTCTCGCGTTGCATTGGCAACTGGCCGCCGCAGTTCACAGCTATCAAAGGTTATCAACGAGAATAACTTGAAGACAAGCTCCCCAAGTCTCTTCTTGTAACATGCTGTTATATATAGCCACGTGAACCTGTTGGAGGCAGGTTTTCTGAGATGCTACGCATCCTGAGTGCAGGAGTTTAAGTTTAAGGATGCGAATTGGTAGGGACACTCTAGAAAGTTCATACCTGGGGGGACTTTTCTGCCAGTTTGGGGCATGATAGTGCCCAGGTTTGCCTCAAAGTGTTTCGCATATCGCCACTTTCTCTTGGAGTATGTATGTCGTACAGCGAAAGTACATATTCCCTTGGCATTTGTTGTAAGCATTCCTTTTGCCATACAATCTCTAGATGGGAGGAGTATGGAGGAGCAACAGATGTTCCAGATGCTTGATTGGCCCACGCCCGCCGCTACAGCACGAAGTAGATAAAGGATGATAGAGGTCTTGATGGAATATCGCAAGGTTTTGGGCAGTCATGACGGAATGTCCCAAGGTTTTAGACTCCATGTTCATGCTGTTGTTGTTTCTTGCTTTCCCACTTAGGATGTTTGTCTGCAGAAGGCTGACTATATACAGCATACTTCAAGACTTAAAACTTGCCACTAATTAGTCAGCATGCTGATTTTCCCTTTCAGAGGACTGTATAGAAATTCTGCACATATGGAAATTGGATGTGGCTCAAGAAAGAGAGACCCAGATCCGCTGGTGTTAGTTCATGTTGCCTTTCACTACTGGGTTTGGACGGTGCCATTTGTTTGAAACATGCCCAAGTAGATGAACACACATGCCCCATGTCCACTTGCAGAGCCACGGCTCTTGGATTCTTTTAGTGAGATCTGAGCAAATCCAAGGTCTCCTCAAGAACCAATCCATCAACCTTGCCAAGATCTTAGACAACCATACGCTCTGAGGGGGCGTTTGACAGCACTGCACTGGAGTAGAAAAGCTGTTGAGTTACTTCGCTGCTGCCGTTCTGGTGATGCATTCAGAAAGATCTGGCCTTTGACCTCGGACCCTGGTTGTAAGTTGCCGAAATGACGAGCTTCACTGGATCATGTCAATCAAAGTGTCGTGCCCCAGGTGGCCACCAGCGCATCAGATCCCGCTTCCGAGGTTGCACAGAATGATAGGACTTTTAGATGACCCCCAGAGTTCTGTAGAATCAAAGATTGTTCCATGCATTGTCGGAACGACTTTTGGAGTTGAGACCTTTTTTGCATGTGCGATGCACCAAACACAGCAGTTACAGAATGACTTACCTTACTCTCTGGTTGAACATGATACCTGGCAACATGCTGCAGCCATTGCTGGCACAACATCAACTCCTTAGGCCTTTCCACCAGGGCCAAAGAAGGTCCTGGATTCTCACATGTTCATGTCCGTTTGAGTAAGCCAACGAACTGGCTCGCCCACTGAGCCAGCGATGCGACCATGGGCATTGGTGCTTTTGTTGGGGTGTTTGTCCAGTATCAAGGGTCATCGGCAAACAGAAAGCATGTTGGCGCTCACGGAGGATTCACCAGAGAGGTTCGATCGAGGTGAGAAGGAGGAGGAGGTGAAGAGTAAGATCTCGAATTCCCTTGAGAGTGTGAGTGCTGCAGAGCCGATGGGAGCAGATCAAGAAGGAGTCAAGTCAACAACACAAGCAGGACCTACTCAAGACAGAAAACGAGACCTGTGGCTTGCGTCGGAGAGAGTTATCCATATGCAACCTGGCCGGATAGGCTGTTGGCTTGACCTGAGCACCGGTATGATTCGAAAGGTCTATGAAGGGACACAGGCTGAAGGCCTTGGCCTTGAAGTGTTCGACTACATCACCAAAGTTGGATCTGCCAAGTTTAGCACCGCAGCTTTGGAAAACGCTATGCACGGGTCAAAAGACTTTGATGTGACAGTGGAAAAGCCTTCTGAAGTGGTCTGGGTTGTGCAATGTTGTCTTTGGTGCTTGTACAGACCTGCAGGAGCGGTGGGTTGTTTGCTTTTGCTCGGCTTGCCTTACATAATCTATCGAGGCCTCCTGTTTGGACTGGATTTGGACAGTAAGACACTGTTGCACCCGGCAGTGCGTCTTGTGGTCTGCGCAAGTGTTGCCTATGCTTTGGGGAAACTTGGCTGGTTGCTCCTAGACTGGTGCTATTCAGGTCTTGGGTACAAGATCAGATTAGCTTCAAAAGCAGCAGGTATTCTGGGGCTGGTGATGGGTTGGCTGCTCAATCTCTCCAATCCTTTGCTGAACGTGAGGCTCCGCAGCGACAGCATTAAGGTGCTGAGGATGTCCAACGTGAGTGCCTTACTATGTTGTTGCACGTTTAGTTTGTTTCGAGGCACAGAGGTAGCGTGTCGGTTTTGTCCACGCAGCATAGAAGAAGCCAAGAGAACGTCTTTGGGAGCGACCTTCTTGGATGTTCTTTATGACATTTCAGATATCCCGCATGCATTCCTAGTCCTCGGATTCACCTGTCTCACTTCACAAATTTGCATGGCAGCACAACAGAGAATGGTTGAGGTAAGTGAAGGGCTTCCTTGCGAACCAACACAATTTACAGAGTGTGTGCACAAACCCTGTGCCGAGCTGCTGCGTGACATTCCTGCAAACTTGGGTCCCATTGGACTGCCCATCCTGCTCGTGATTTGTGACATGTTGCCCGCATGCTTGCGATTCTACAACGAGTCGATGCTCCTGTACGCGTCCAAGATCACCCGCGGGTTGCCAGAGTACTGGTGCGACGTTGCGTGCAATGCCTTTGTGCTTGCAGGCTGTACACTCGCTGTGGCCGTGGGACCTCTTCAGCTCTCCCGGGGCCTCCGAGTGTTCGAGCATCAACTAACGAATGCACGACGTTTGGACAGCAACATGAACCTGCAAGTCGAGGCGGTGGAAGCTATGCTGGCACAGGTGTGGCGGGAAGTACATCCTCTTGCCCATGATGACTTCCTTGCCGGTTCGCAACACGCATGTACGCTTCATGTAGGTACTGTAAGTCCATGCTAAGTAGAATGGTATTGAATAGGTTTGTTATTGAATAGGTTTGTCCTATTATTACCTGTAACAGTCAGTAAACAATTATCACTTGACTAACCCTCATCATCCGTATTACTGGAAATAGGATATACACAAGGTATTGATTGGTATATCTCTTTTGAACAGCTACGTTCGTAACTCCTGAAGGTCTCGTGCGAACTGGATTCTTTTTATGCAGCTGTGTTACTGCTGCGTTCCATTTGTTTGCAACCCCTTGGTCATATTTTTGTCATATTTGGGGTGTGCGGTTGGTAGATGGTCGCTGAAGCGGGCTCAGGACAGGAAGGGAATTCAGAATGCAATGGACGTTATGCCAAAACTTGTGTCCTGCCAGACTGCCAAACTGCTGGTTTGCTGATCTACTTTCTTTTCCATGGTGCACGTTCAACTAAAAAGGTTCCGTGGGTGCAAACATAGACACTCAAAGGGAGGTGTGAGGTAAGCAACGGAGCTCCTAGCTGCTTTTGACTGACTATCCATGCCCCTAGAAGTTATCAATGGTACGAGGTTTGTTCACCTGAACATGTTGGCAGACGCCAGGTGAACGATGGGAAAGGCTGGGGGATTCCCGTCTTCGAGGGCTTTGTCCTGACCAAGTCAGTCATGCAGACTCTGTGCCTGCGCCTCCTGCTCGCTGGCACTGTAATCAAGGCTTTCCTTGACACAGAGCTTGGCTTTCACCAGGACTGGAACTATTGACAGGGCAAGGTCTACCTTTTGCTGCAGTTCTTTCGTTTTTGCAGGTGCTTTAGATATCTTTAGATAGCATTGGTTGATCGTATATCGCGTGCAACCAGTGAGGAGATGTCGCTCTTACTTGGTACACACTGGATCATGTAAGCCTGTAATCCAAGGTCCCCACATTGTAGGTCGGCACCTTTTGCTTGAACGCCTGAAGCCGTACTCCTACTCCTACTTGTAAATACTCGATACGTCGATACTCCAAGTTTTTTCTCTGTGGCTGAATAAAATCAAAAGGGTAGGCGAGATAAAGAGAGCTTGTTGGTGTCTACTCCGCACCCTGTGTTTCGCCAGTTAATTGCAAGAGTCCTTTGGTTCTTGATCATGATCAGGAAGAGAAGGAGCGATCGAACATCCAGCTGGCAGCAATTGTGGACGGCTTGCGCAACATGACCAGTCTCTCGCACTTGCATCAGACCATTCGTTGGATAGCCGCAGCAGTCAACAACGAAAGATCATAGTCTGACTCCAAAGGGTCCCAGTTGTTATACGATCTAAATGATTTTGTGCATGCTTTCAATTAAACATGTCAATTCAACAGCTGCTGCGTGCTGCGTTTGGATTGACATGGGGGGGCCCAGAAGGATGTCTTCGTCTCATGCATCGGAACACCATCGGAAACGACCGTTCACCGTTTGTGGATCGGGTTCCACATGCTCAGGTCCACGTCACATAGTTCGGTAGGACCGTTCGCACATCGTTCATGAAAATGTTTTCAGAAAGCTTAGATGTCCTTCCAGCTTGTTTAGGGACGGTCATACAGCAGGAGTTCAAAGAAAGGTCTTCTCATGACCCCTTGGTTCCGCCCAAGTCCGCACCAGTCCATCCGCGCGGAAATCTGGGAACGATCCGAACGACTTCCACCCGGTAAAGAGTCCCGAACGAACTATTCCCTGTTTCTTCGGTCCTGTCTTCCCCAGTGTTCATTCCGAACGAATGGTGACCCAGTTTTCCGCGCCGCAGAAGTTCATCCGGGTAGACCAATCACAAATCGGTCGAAGAAAGACTCGCTACTCGGAACTGGATGATGGTCTATTTGGCAATGTCACTCAAGTGTCACAAGTATAATCAAGTATATAAAAATTCTGAGTAGACACAACAATATGAGGGATGTCAATACAAATGGGAAAGTTGAACAGCAATGTCAATGTCCTATAGTGCCTCTTGCTTCAACTCCACAGTGAATGCCTTCTACTGCAGTAGTTTGATCCCACTATTCTTTACGCAAAAACAAGTCCTTTCAGGCCACAAAGCCTAGACCTTTGAATCCAGAATGCAACCAAGACACAAATGTGTGCTTTGATGCAGCCTTTGGTTCACCAGCGGCCTGAACTACAACCACAACTAGATGGATTTGTTCTTCACGCCGCGTCACAACGTTTCTTCTTGCGATGGGGGGAGACTTTCTGGCCCCCCAGATGTCTGGACATGCATATACGAAGCCTCTCATAAGAGGTTGACCTTCGTTGCGAATCCAAGGTTTCTTCCAGAACCAGTCGACCTCGTTCCTCACAAATCTGGAGAATCCGACTTCCTGATCGACAGTCGTCGTCGAAAAAGGAAGTCGACAGCTGCTGATTCGGATGTTGTGGGGAAATCCTTTTGCCGTGCCGTCCAGTCCTTCCAGAAGTTCTTCCAGAACACAGGTGGCTAAGAAGGTCTCCACACAAATGAGGGTTTGATTGCCATAAGTAGGCTCAGCGTGGACTCGTATGTGTGAGAGACTGACACAATTGTTGTTGGAACGGGTGTTGAAGGCGGAAATTCTGCCACACCTGAATGAAATCTACAAAACCACTACTTAATTTAGCAGTGAAATATTCACCATTTCATGTAGTGCCTTATTTCTTCCCTTCTTCCACGGAGGGGTGTGCACCCTCCTTGCAAGTGTTTACCCCGTGTCCAGCTGCAGCACATCATCACACATGTGGTTTCAGTGTCCCTCCGCCAGGCGCAAAAAGCCAAGAAGTCATTGAAGAGGCGCCGTCGGGGCGTTGTCGGTCACTGCATGTGGTCAGCATGCGACAAAGCTGCCATGATGGGAATGTGAGCTTCGATACTCAAGGCCGCAAGATCCAACAAGCTTGGTTTGAACAAGGACGTTGTTGACCATTTGGAAGCATGTTATACTCAAAACCCTGCGAAGGAACTGGTTGCACATGCTTGACATGGTCTGACAGTCATGGGTCTTCTCCATGGTCTGACACAACCACTGTTCTGGGAGGTCACACGGCTGGGGTTTCTTTGGGGTCCGGACGATGCATTCGGCATTTGTCCTTCAACAGTATCTCAGAAGAAGTTTCATTCACTTAAGACTCCATCTTCAGTTGATGCTTCATTCACTTAGCACATCTTGACACTCCAACACACTCCAACTCTTCACTCAACTTACCTTGTTGCGAGCATCTCCTTAGACATCGGAGAGCTCGTGACAGAGCCAGCGGTCGGTCCTTGGAGCGTTTGTTCGTGTCGAAAAAATGGAGGGTCCCTGGAGCGAGTTGTCACATGCGTCTGTCACATGTAGGGTCTGTCCCACGAAACCTCGAACATCCTGGAACAGTCGGACGATTCCCAACCAATATCACTCGTTTTGGAGATGGACAGGCCTGGCGCGACGATGGAAAGGCATCCATCATCCACTGGGTGGTGGGGATACCCCCAAAGATCCATGCGACCACATCTTGCTGTTTTGGAGAAGCATCGACCACCTCCGAAACGGATTGACTTGCAGCACCAGTGCTTGGTTGACTTGCTTTTTGGTGGCCAGCCGCCAGTCTTGCTGAGGTTCTTCCGGGCTAGGATTATATACCTCCCAAGTCTGCATGCCGAAGACTTCATACCCAGTCTGCGTGCCTCGTGAGGCTCTGATGGCACTCCTTGACGGAGAGCCCCTCGTTCCTCTACGGCGCTGGAGCAGGGTGACGGATTGTTGACCTGGATGGGTTGGTCTCCAATTGGTTGAGGAATCAGGAAGAATGGAGATGATCCAGATATTGAACGAGGCTGAGGGCCAACGGGTCTTTCTGGGAAATGAAGGTTTCTATCAATGGAGCCAAACTAGCTGGTCACCAAGATCGCTGAGAGATGCAGCTTCTTTCAATGTACTTTAAGCATGTTTAAGCCTCATCTATATAATAAATATGTAAAACGTATCACAAGATTGTACAATATAGCCTTCTACGCTGTATATGTGAGTCATTCTTGCACAAGAGAAGATACAGATACCCACCCACATGACGATTTGTTGCTGTCGCCAAACTCCCAGGCTTCTCTAGCTTCGCAGCGCGCCCGTCGCCCGCCGTCGCCTGAGGTGAATCGAAGGGGCGTTCAAGAAGACCGGTGATGAATGTCGTCCGTGCAGAACGGCCATGGTCATGGAAGAACCACGAAAAGAGAAGAGAAAAGACGGAAAGTATAGTCATCCTGAATATCCAGAGTAGATAAAAGTAAAAGTCATAAAATGCAACTGTCGTCAGATTCTTGTGTGTGTGTGCATGTGTTTGTGATGTTTCCAACGTCCTACATATATATATATATACATATATTGAATATATATATATATATACCTAGACCCCGCAAAAGACGTATTTTTTTCTGGTGAGGGCAATTTTCAGGCGAAGCTCAAAAAACCCACACAACAAACAGTTTTGGTGTCGATTTTTGTCACTTCTGCGTTGTTTTTTGTCACTTCTGCGTCATTTTGGCGTCATGTTTTCTATCGCGAATTTGCTGCATGTTTTTGCGTCATGTTTTCTGGCGAGACGGAAAAAAAGACATCGTTTCAGGGTCCAGGTATATATATTGGAGTCATTTTTTGCAAGAGGATGACTATCCTCATGTTGGCTTGCATCTCACTTAGTCTCACTTGTTCAAGAGGACTTGTGTACTACTGTACTACCTCTTTGACTACAATGTGTTCCGGCCACTTCAAGAGGATTGAGCAAGCAGATTAGAGAAGTTCTGATTTGAAGTCCTCAGGACTCAAACGTGTTGATCCCATCAGACGAATGAGACCTAACATGTTGATCAAACGGTCAGTTTTCTGCAGTCGGCTGGAGCAACGGCTGCAGTTGAGGGATCAGAAAAAGCTTTCATTGTTCCATACAGAAAAAAAGCAAACAACAACTTCACCGCCACGGTCGCGCCTCATTCGAGCTGTGTTGGCTGGGCTGAAGATTGGAGGTGAAGTCACAGCAAGCCTCGTTGCATGCAACAACACCTTCAGAACACATGAAACTATCCATATCCCTTTGGGAGTTTACCAACCGCCCTGCTTGGTTGGGGTGATATGTCGCCGGTGCATAGTCGTCACATGGTTGGTAACGCCGAAGAATTGGTCTCCGCAACATCCAGCGACCACCAAACTGGGTCACTTCTCAGGTCGTAAGTCTCACGTCCAAGTGGTGAAGTGCATCTTATTCTGAAGCTGCAACTTAGGATTGGGATATAACTTTTTCTTCAGTCCCGCGTTTGCTGGATTTTCCTGGTCTCTATATTGGTAGCAGGAGGTTGTATGCCACATAATTGTACATGTATATAATTATATGATATAATTATATACATTGGATTGGTAGTGTATATCACTGTGTCGCTTCACATACCGTGTACATATTGCTGGAAAATGAACACTACCATCTCTTGCCGCCACTCAGCGCAGTTCCAACTTTTCCACATGGGCGACGGGTGACGGATATTTGCCTCCGATCTGGACGCCGCCTTCGACGGCTAACCTTCCTTCGATGCCCATCGCGAAGAGAGAAAACACGAAGGGATGGTGAGGGACGATTGGTCTACATGACGACATGACGTCGACACAGTCGATGGACGATTGGTCTACATCCCTCATGACTCTCTTTGGAGACAGCGAGCCTGGTCGACATGAGAGAAACTTGTCACCAGGAGATCAACATCTTAGATTGGAGATCAACCCAGCTTTGATCCTCCGAACATTGAGGAATTTGAGGCGTCCAGGCGCGCCAAGCTATTGGACGTCCGAGTATTGTCATTGTGCAACCTCCCAGCAACAACGGTGCCACGGACAAACACCCCACCGAACCACCAGCCAAATGCTACGGTCCCCCTAGAGTTTGACTGGTAAGTTCCGTTGGCAGCCTGCAGATGTTTTTGGAGTGAAAGACTACGTACTTGAGCGAAATCTCTAGCTGACAACTGTTCTGCAGTGATCAGAATCGAGTTCTGCAAGGAATGAGCTGCAGCTCGTTTGAATGATTGAAAACTGCGCGAGGATGTTTGGTCCATGCTACTTGTGGTCCATGGTTCCTGGGGAGGCATGGATTTCAAGAATGGCTGAACTTCTTTTCAAAGCTTTTAACGAGGCCAAGTCCTTGCTAACGAAGCTAAATCATGATCATCCCTCACAAAGCAAGGTTCTGGAGGATGAAGTCGCTGTTGGGCATCAAGGTATGAATGACTTTGAGATGTGCATCCCAGGTGAGAGAAAGCCACATCAAGTTTCATTAGGCCAGGGTCTGACACTGCGGACATTGCATCAGTCAGCCTTTGTTCGAGTACCAGCGTTGCCATCACCCACGGATGCCAGTTTTTGTTTTGTGTTTTTTTTGCAAGTGTCCCACACATCTTAATTTATTGTCCTATAGGACCTAGAAGTTTTCGACACAGTCATTCCAAGCGCTAGCCACCAAGTGTGGACACGTGAATGGCGTTCATTGTCACTTGGGATGCGCACGTCGCAAACTCCACGTTACTGAGATTCCTTGACACCTCCGCGACCGACCGCCTGCGATGGTTCCAACGAAGCAGCAAGCGGCTTCTTGTGGAAGGATGAGATGTGATAGATGGCTGACTCGCTATTGGAAATTGATGGGCAGAAAGATTGACCAGACGCACAAAGATTGATGGGTTTGAGAGTTTAGGACAGACACGTTTGTTTACCTGACCCATTCATGTTGTTTGTTTTTGAATTTGCAAAGTCTTGGGTTGCACAGTTGTTCAAGGACAAGCTGGTTGCAAAGAAACGCCTTGTAGAGGATCATTCCTGGTTCCTGAGTGGCTTAACCTGACCCAACTGCGCCAGCCCACGGATCTCTACCAGCCGAACCGGCGGAACCTGCGGAGCCAATTCGCTGAATTCAACCGCCCCCGGGCACGCCGCCGCCGTCTACCCGGCAGCGACGGGTCGTAAGGGACGTGCATGGACGGGGCTTCTCGAATGAGCAAGTCATGCCCAGCATATTAAGGATTAAGGAGCGCTAGTAGGTTGGAGGCCATGGCTACTAGGTCGGAGGCCATTGCTATTAGGATTGGCAAAGGCTGCTCAACACCTCAGTGTCGCAAAGGTCGTGTTGGGGACAGGGGTCATTCTTCTAAGGCAGACATGAAGTTCTGAACAGTAGACGCAGGAGAACTCCATTGAATGCATTGAATACCACGTCTCATGACACTTGCAAAACCAAGCTGGTTGAATCCACTGTGCAGAAAGAAGTTCCCATTGGTCGGACCTGGGTCAGGGGTTCCCTGGGGTGAACCGATGGGTCTTCCGAGAAGGCTTCGGGCTAGTGAACTGTTCATCCAAGAACCGGCGTGAACTGATCAGAGTGAACCTGGGTGAAGCGTGAAACAAATACCAGCAAGTGTTGGTAAACACTTCCCAATATTCTGTGTAGTTTCTGTGGAAGGTCCAGTACATGGTGCATCAAACAACCGATCCGCAAGGCAAAGTTCGGGGGGGTCCCAAACTAGCCTTCGTTGAACAATCAAATTATCAACTTCCTTAAGTCTTAAAGAACAGACAAATGGTAATAAACATGTTGAGGATTTTTTTTTTCCACGAGTACGGACGCCGTGTGGGCATGGTGCCCAGGTCATCGATAAACATGTTGAGGAAATAAATCAGATCATCAAAACACGGTCTCTGAGTCTCCTCACAACTCACGCAGCCTCGTGACATGGAACGCTCCGAATCCAGCACCACCCGGATGCTCCGAAAGTCCTGTCAATCATGGAACGCCCAGCCGAACTGGGCACGTCGCCTCGTCGCGTCCGCGGGACAGACCGAGGTCGTCAGCTGGGTTCACCTCCGAACAGGGGGGGGTTTGAAGCAATGGATGTCCCAGGATATATAGAATTTTGATAGAATTTACCTTAAAGGTAGAGGCGATCGCCAAGCGGCTGCGTCGAGGAAGGTGATCTCGATGATGTGCAGAGCATAGAACACATGGTCAATAAAGGAAGTGACCATGGACAGACCGATTCCTTTCGGTATTCTCCTGGTTGAAGGGTTTCTTTTGTTGTACTTCTCAGATGAGTTTGGGATGGGTGAACTCCACTGCAGGACATGGCCAGCTGGAAAAGTGCTTCACAACGTGACCGTGAAAACTGGGGTGACGAAGTGTCAACAGCTTGGGAAGTCCACGGCTGTGTCAACAGCTTCAAAGATCATTTTCCAAAGCCTGCTGAGGTAGAGGACCACCGTTTTCCAAATCCAACAGGTGAAACAAACAACTCCCCTTCAAAGGAATTGAGAATGGATATCGGATAGAGGACAGAAACCTAGAGGGTGAATTTGGCACTGCACACGGCAGTGGTTTTGATTTCCGTTCCATATGCTTCTATCAGGACCATCCTGTTTGGGTGTCCAATGGACTACCTTACACTACTTAGAGATGTCCCAATGGATGGTCCTGGATGTCCTGATACAAGAACATGCCCTTCAATATAATCACAACACGCCGAACTTGACACAGCCGAATGTGCTTTTGTTGGGCACAGCAGGCACAGCCATGTTTGTCATGTGTTTGTTTTGTGTGCTTTGTTTTGGGTGCTTTAAAGTCTTTAACAAACATTATCAATAACTATACCATGATCATCCATATAATTACCTGCTCATGTGCAGGAAAATAGATGGGACACCTCTTCTCCCCATTGGAACCCATCGACGGCCACGCGGTGGAAAAAGTCTGCTCCTCTGCGGAAGTTTCTGGGGTCCCGGAGGAGCTGAGGAGTAACAGGACCAGGAGAGGTATAGGTACAAAGAATGGTGAGATCATGCCTTCACTGTAAGGCAAGTTGCAAGGCATCATGGAATGGTTCGTCGATTTTGAGGGACTGATATAATGTGATGTGTAGGCTGTACTGTAGGTTTTTTGCTTTGGCTGATCTAGGCTGCAACTCTACTGTAGGTTGAGGGGCTGATCCCTATTTGAAGTGTTCTTGCGCAGTTTGGTCCAAAAGTAATCGAACACAGGATTCAATGCATCATTACAGTGAGGTCGGGTTTGACTGATGCCCAAATTAGGCAGCACAGGATGGAGGAAGCCGTGAGAAGAGCTTTCTTGGTTCTTTGCGCACTTCTGTGTTTGAATATATGTCAGATATGTTCAGATCTAGATTTAGATCCAGAGATTGTCCATGACATCTAAGGATTTATGTCAACTTCTAGGGATTCCTAGTGTATTTTCTGTGTTCTATCATATGGTTCGGATTTGCACTCAAATCTGTAGCATTCCTGTAGCCTGGCAGTGCTTTCCGAGACTTGGGCCCTAGTGCTTGTTTTCAGATGGTGGTTTAATGTCCAAGTGTGGTGGTTTCATGTGATTTATATGTGGTTTATATGGTTTATCCATCTAAAGGACATCTTGGGGGGAAACGTGCCATCTACTCTAATCTACTCGGAAACCACTGTAAGCACCAACAGCCGGAGATTACAAGGAGATATCTGAGCCAGATCCCGAGTGACGGCGAAGTGGTACGATCCAAGCGTTGTTCGTTGGGTGAAGCTGCCCGAAACCAAGAGAAGCCATGTTTGAACCATGAACACCTCCATGTTTGTGCCTCACTTACCAGTTGGACGAATGATCCTTCAACTGAGGTAATACATTTGTTTGTGAGCACATGTCAACCCACAAGAGATGTGTAAGGATTTGTCTCTATCAATAATTGAACACAAAAAAATATACATGTATATCATCTCTCTATAAGTCTAGTTGTTTAATCATCTAGCAAATCACTTTAGCCTTGCAGCGGTCTTCCTAAAAAGGAAGTGTACGAGCTTTGACAAATAAACATACAGTGTCAGATTGCTCGGTGGGACGTTCCACGCAACGAGTCTTCTCCAAATGGGGCGAAGCCACGTCAAGTCTCTTTGCTACGCGCGCTTCAACGGGACCCCTTTGCTCGCCCGCTTGCCACGTCGAATTGTGAGAAACCGCACGTGCAGAGGCGAGTGCAGCGAGAAACCGCTGCCACGCATGGTCAGCCAAGAGTTCGTGAAAGTAAAGGCAGCAGCACTAGCAGCTGTAGCAGCAGCATCAATGGGTAGAAGCTAAGCCTGTGAGAGAGCAACACCTAGAAACCAAGACTCTGGGATCCCAAAGGGACTGCAGGGAGGTATGCATTGAAAATACTTGTTTTTCTTCGCGATAGTTTTGTTTGACCTTTGTGTTTCTATATCCCCCCCAGAAAGGCTCAAGCGTGACTTTTTTGTCCTCAAGCAGCGTCCTCCAGTTGATTTTTTCTCTTATGGCCCCCTGATGCTGACCATTCGACCGTTTGATTTCCTGGGACCGTGGGCCGAAGCGAAGCTCTATTGATGTTTCAATCAATGGGTCCAGTTTCAATACATCCCGGTGCGCCCGCGCGCACGTAAACGCGCCTTTGTATGGCACTGTTGTTCAAGTGCTCAATGCTTCTTCAATCTGGGATGCTCTACACTTTTTGTTTTACTTACATTGTGGCATTCCATTGCTTATGGGTGTTTTACCTTTTTCTTAGAGACGGACACCGCAAGTTCGTTGTACCGCTTCTTAGGGAAGTCAACACGCCGTCTGATCCAGGTGTCAATCCATTGGACCAAGTACTGGGTGAGCATGTGTGTTGGACATTCCGTTTAATTGTGTAGATACTCCTTATTACTATAGCGACACTTATTGCCGTATGATCTTGATGAGCCATGATGGCAAAAGAAACTCGGTTTTCATTGGGAGTTCAAAGTACAGTTTTTGCCTTTTGGTGCTTGCAGCACATGGTTTAACGTTCAAAAAAGATCTGAGCAGAAGCTCATTTATACATCTGTGATGTGCTTAAAAGATGGCACTTGGCACATGGGCTGTGGTCATGTGGGTGGTGTTGAAGCAATTCGACATGCGCTTGAATCACCCAATGGTAAGTCACATGTGGACCCGGTCCACGGTCCACTCCTGCCGCTCACGCTCAACGCTCGCACACGCTCTGTGCCGAGCACCGCACGAGCTCAGCTGCCAATTCGCTGCGCAGCGCGTCGTTCGCCGCCGGGGTTTTGTCCGGGAAGCCCAGGTGGAGAGATGGGGAGAAATGGGGGTGGTACGCAGTGAGAGAGGGGGGAAGGTGGTTGTTTTTGGGACATCCGAAGGCCAGGAAGAGGGAGATGGGGCGAAGCAGGAGCCAGGTCACCTGGGCAAACTCACTTAGTCTTGTTTGTTTCTCACCAGGGAAATCGAGCGGGAAGAACTCTATGGGATGAGGACGAATAGATGGTCCACCCTACCGGGAAGGCCTAGTTAGTCACCGAGTTTGTCGCTTACCCAGGCCCGTTCTGCTCAATTGCTGAGAAAGGCTGTTGCTCATTGCTCAGAACAATCTCAAGTTCGAAACGTTCGATTTAAATCTTTCTGGCTATCCTGGCTCTATGTCCCTAGTTGGGGGGTGTTGAGCACCACATATCAATTGCTTTGCACCCCCATGAATCCTCAATGAATTCCACACTTGTTGATGTTCAAACTGGAAGTCGAAAGGAAATACTTTCTTTGATCAAGTCGTAGCCTTTTGATTTAGCCACTTGAGCCTATAGGCGGTGGACCTCGTCTTGAGTTCACATAGGTTTCCCTTTTCGGATCCTTTTTTCTTCCAACGCGCCGTCCGCGCCGCCATCCGCGCCGAGCACCGGGAACCCCGCGTCGACCTCCTGAGGTCCCTGCCGTGCGAGTCGTCGTCGCGCCGCTGTGCTCGGTCCGCGCCGAAAAGGACGACGACGGACGCACCGGGACCGGTCGGACGCGACGGGTCTTCGGGAGTGACCGTCCGGGAGTGACGGTTTGGGTCATGGGGGGGTGGAGAAGGAACCGGTAAGACACAGCTGTTTTTTAGAGTGGGTAAAGGATGATCACTATGATTGAACCAGCCCTGCAGCTGAACCAGCGGAAATCCACTGGTACTGACCATGGGAAATAATTAGACCTAAAACATTGGCTTCATTGGCTTTTGCATCTTTTGCAGCCAGAAGGATGCAGTTGTGGACCCATCCATGGACCCCAATTGGGCAGATGTTAATGACGATCGGCAAGTGAAGTGCTTTTTGTTATACTTTTGCTTGTTGGGAGCAGGAATCCCTACCGCCGGAAGAAGCGGCTCGAAGCGACTCAAAACCTTTGAGTGGGATGGATGAGGGCTGTTGAACTGAATTGAGGGTAGAGTAGTGTAGAAGAAAGACATGGGCACATCCTGGATCAGCTGGAGAAGGTCCCACATGAAATCTCCAGTATCAATGGCACATCCTTGAAGTGTTGTCAGTCTGTTGAAGGACTAGGTTTTCAGCGACAGCACTGCACGGTCCAAATTTTTGATAAATAAATAAGGCGCCTGAGGGGGTTGCGCACATGCACACACGCACACATACTTTGGTTTGTTGATGAAACTCCGCTGAACATTGCCCCGCAGTCGCTGTTCCAACCACTGGCTCAAGGGACGGCGCCATGCTCGATGGAGGTGCAGCCACTGAGAGGCGCGCCAAGCGGAGGGGGTTATTTTGGGGACTGTTGAAAAGGACCTCTCTACTTGACTGGTTGGTTTCATTCCCTCTAGCTCACGGACAAGGAGGGAGGGATTGTCTAAACCCGTGGATGAAAGAAGCCAAGAAATTACAATGGCTCCATGGATGGTCTGGCCGCCCAAGCGCTCGTTTCGGAGCGTTTTCGACCATCGACAAGGTGTGAACCCCACTTGAATCTCATTCAGGTTTACATCCCCAATGAACCCCTTCTGACCACTGAGCTTCTGGTCCCTTGGGCATTTGTTCTTTGGTAAGAAAGCTAATGGTGAATGTCGATCCTAAAGCACGTTAATATTGTGCATAGTCTGTGATTGGTGTGGTAATATATTGTAATTTATGGTAATCCAAAAAAAGCTACTGTAAAGTCTTGGTGTCCTGAAGGTTTACAGTATTTCTCTTGAGGCCCTAACCTAGAGAATCAACAATAGGATTGTTCTTCCTTCACGCAGCTGGGTGGCCAGAGTCAACAGGAACTGCTTCTTCCATTCCTCGGGCGGTATCATAAGTATCACAAGTACTCCAAAGATGTTGGTGTTTACAAGTGAATCTTGAGAGACAAACACACTAGGACCTAGGATGGCCACCCAAAGCTACCAATGCCCTTCAAGATCTTCAAGCAGGCGCTCGGTCTTTGCCTGGTAGCCCACGCACGAGCAGGCAACGCTGGTGGGGAGCTTGCATGGTGGGTGCTAGTCTCCGCGTTCTTCCAATATGTGCTTAGTGATGGGCTTGATGGCTGAGATCTCCAGAGTAGATCTTCATCCCGGAGCCTTTGGATCATTGGGCTGAATCGCTTTCACCCCTCCTCGATGTTCAGTTTCCGGAATCAAATGGTTAGTTGGGTTCCACTACGGTTGCTTCCTGTTTTTGTTCCATGAAAGCTGGGTGTTTGGCACTCCCCATGTACCCCGACATCTGTCGAAACTGAGCATGATGGATTTACAACGAAAATGGCCTGCATGATCGTATGGGAGAGCATAAACTGGACCCTATTCAGAGCTGTGGCCCATTATTTCACAGCCCGTACACACAACCAAAGCTTCAAACCACTTCAAAAGAGGGACACTTCAACCCACTAAGAAAACACTAGGGGCCACTTCGCACCATCTTCCCAAGATACCCACTATATTGCTATTCAAATGCGATGGCGTTTTTCCTTGTTGTGTTCGCCACCACCGACAGGTCGCCGGACACCTCCCTGGCCCGGCAGATTCGCCGCGCGGCGCTGCGCGCCGAGGCCGAGGCGTCACGGGAGAGAGTGGACGGTCTCACCGGTGTGGCGGTGACGCGGTGGCGCTCTGGAGGATGCAAGAAGATGCAAGAAGTGAAAGTGACCTGATCAAAAGGGACCCGTAACCCTGGGGTAGCAGTCTCTCTCTCTATATATAGAGAGAGAGATATGGTTGGAGGGACAGTCGAAGGGGGGTCGGGTCCTTCAACCTTTGGATGTGGTGGTGGCCGACTCGAAGATGAGGTAAACATACACCACTAAGAAGTGAGGTGCTTTGCGCAGGGGATAGTCGTAACCAAAACCTTTTTGGTGCTAAGTGACCCTTTACTGGCCTAAGTAACCTCATCCTGGGATATCAAAAGGTCACTTTGAAGGTCCTGACACTTGTGAAGGGGCAGTGTGCAAGCCATGGCGCAATGGTTTGGCGTACCAACTTTACACAAGGGGGTACGACAGGCAACAAGTTGTACCAGAATATTGAGGGCACAGGGCCAAAACCAAGATTCATCGAAATATTATATACCAGTCAGTGAAAAGCCATATAAACCAGGGTGGTTATGGACCACCCTCGGGGTGCACAGAATAGATGTTTTCTCAAGGCACATCAGATCGTCTAAATCATCGTGGGAACCTGATCTGTTTCCTGTGTCGAGGTGTTCTTGACAGCTCAAGCGTGTGGCTTGACCCATGTTTGAATTCTGGATCTTGCAAAACAAGAGGTCTTGCAAAGCAAACAATGAATTATGAAACACCAGTGCAAAGCATATAAATCCACCCTTTAAGCCTTTACAGTCACTGCACACAGGGAAAACGAACGGGAAACCTGCCATGAGCAAGGGACCAGCCTTGAGACAGCGCCAAAGATAGATAGAGACCCATGCAACTCGTAGAGAATTGATCCATTCGGGCCCTCCAGACGGATTGCCGACGCCAGACGGATTGGCGTTGTCATCCAAACGTCCAACGATGCGACCATCGCGAGAGACGAAGAGCGAAGGAGGTCCCATGACACTATGTGGCAGGTCTCATGAGGTCTCATGACGTCCCATGTCCTTGGTCGTTTGTGCCATTGGTACGTCGTGTGCCCCGTTCATGGCTGGACGGACCCGTGCAGGAACGGAGCCCGTCTCACCCGGACCGTTGAGAGCCGTGCAGGAGGTGTCGACGCAGCGGCACCAGCTGCAGGAGGAGTTGTCGACGCTGAAGAGATGGATGGTCGAGCAGCGTGAGGAGCAGGCGTGGATGGTGTCGACGCTGGTCACTCAAGAGAATTAGCATGCTATAGCCGTGCTACGTATTATATATAGTCATATAGTTGTGCTGAGGGCACAGGCGAGCAAACAAAATGTCAAAAGATGGTCAACGTGGCCACAGTCATGATTCATTGGACCCAAACAACCGACCAATTGTTTTGGGCAGGTGCCGTTTCCATGTGTGTGTCACCGTGTCAACGACCAGTTATTGCCGCAAAGCCAGCTCTGACTTTTTGGTTCATCCATACTACATCATCTACATCCATGTGTTTGACGCTTTGCAAGAAAACTCTCACCCCAACTCCACACTCTTTCCCCAAATGGAGCACATAGGGCCGCGCACTCGCGCGCTCGCGCACAGGCCCAAGGCCTTACAGAGCTGCGGGAGCTGCGAGGCACCTTGCACGGCCGGGAGACCGAAGAGAGGAGTCACGAAAGGGGTGACGGAGTTCGACCGAAGCTTGTGGGATGGAACAAGGCCACGTTTGGATGAATAGAGCTAGGCTGGCATAGTCATGGTGAAAAGCTGTTCTGAGGAGTGCAGAGGTTGGAGGTGCTCGATGCGGCATATTAGACAAAAATTGGATGCTATCGCCGTGCGGCTGGACCATGCGGGCAAGGCACAGATTCGTCGCGGCCGGCGCCGGTGCCATGTCCGCAGCCTTTGGAATCACACATGCAGCACTTTGTATCACTTCTCCAACCGAATCATGGTATCCACCAGACCACCCAACCAACCAACCAACCAACCCACCGGAAGAAAACTGTCTAAGGCCTCTTCGTTCCGAAAGCGAGATGTTGGAACAACAGCTGAATCCGCTGAAACAGGGCGGGTCGTGTTCGTGTTCAACAGTTCTACTGTGGCTCCAAGAAACGATAGCAAATCCCTCAACCCATGGCACACTCCGAACCCACCCACAAAGGGGCCGCAAATGAAAGACGCAGTAGACGCACTCAGTAGCATGGAATTGGATGGCATGACTCCTGGGGAAGACTGTATTCTGCAGATATAAGTTTGGATGCTTCCACTTCGAACGTTTTTGAGTCTTGGCAGCAGGCCCTGACCCAGAAACCACAAATCTAGCAGCTCCTTCAATTTTCTTTGAAGATCATGGAACCACCAAACACCACCTCAACTGCTTTCTCTCCAAGAATAAGTAGGACCATACCAATACCCAACCGTCACGTCCTTCAAATCTTTGCCAACTCCCCCAAAGTCAAGAAAACTATTCAAGGTCTTTTATTAACCACCTGCATCAATTCCTTCGATCTTCTCCTCCCTTGTGACCAGGTGCCAGACATGAGGTGGAGCAACAAGCTGCTACTGCCAGAGCACAGGCGGAGGAGCACTTCCTTTCTCGCTGGCGTGGGTTTTGGTTGATTTTGATTGTTGGACAGCCACTTTCCTGAGTTCTTGGATCATGCTATCCCTTCCTCCCTCCCTTCCTCCCCGTCCCTCTATCTTGTCATCCATCCAAGACTAAAACTGTTCGTGGCACCCGATGTCACCTGTCAAGCAGAATTTGCTTCATCTCTCCAGTAATCAATCCACAAACATAATTTCACTGTTTGGCCACCAGAAGAGGCAGGTGGAACTATACAAGCAGGGGATGTTTTTTTTCTTGAAGTGGGAGAGAGTGGATGCTCTCAATACTCCCTTCCAGTCTACTCCCACTTGGCGTGGTGTTTGCCTTTTTCCAAACGGACATAAACGGGCATCACAATAGTGTGTTTTATCCAACTCACTCTTGGGAATTCAGCTTCTGATCCCGCGCTCATTGTGCACCAAAGACAAGCTACATCCGGATACCATTCCATTTTCCGCCCTGGATCCACCACATGACTCATCACATGAGCACCCAAGCGATCCGAGAGAGAGTTCGAAATCTGAGGGTTTGTGGGGTCGGAGAGGCACAGCAACCAGTGGTGATCCAAACAGCTATAGTGCGTAGCCCCCCGCCAGGAGCAGGCGCAGCTCGCGGAGCTCTGCCGTGAAGGCCGCCGGTTCGGCGGGTTCATCAGCATCGAGTCGCAAAGAGGTGGAGGTGGACGGTCCGTGGCTCCGAGTCGAAACGACTGGAAATGCCACCAATCAAGAGCCTACTTTGAACCGGATACCATTGACACTTGACCAAGCCAGAAAGCCTGGATGGAGCCCAGCCAGCTGCTTGTAGTTTTTTGTTTTAAGATCCAAATCCAAATGCCATACACTTCTTCACTCCAAATGTCCCACTAGTCGCCACCGTTCGACCCGCCGTGTCCGCGGCGCCACACCGCTCCACCGAGGCCAACGGCGCCTGGGGCGCGAGGTCTTCGCGAAGATGTCGGAGCTCAACGAGAAGCTCGGAGAGAAGATGCAGCTCTTGGAGGCCACCGAACCCGGGGCGGTGGAACACGACCCGGGGGGGAAGTGAACCGGAAACCGGAACCGGGAGATGTGGATGTTCGATGTTCTTTCTAGATGATCCTGAATCAGTGTTCAGTACTGTTCAGTTCTTCAAATCTGCATGTTAGGATTCCGCATTCCTTGGACGTTGCTTGCGTCCTCGCGCAAGTCCTTGGTTTTGCCCCGACACGGCGTTCGGTCGATGACACAGGATGAGCTCACCGCGCGCTTGGCCGAAACCGTGAGGATGTTGCGTCAGGCTGGAACGTGGCGCTGGAGTGGTGGGTGGTGTGGAGTGCTGAAAAAAGGGAGTTGTCTAGGACTGCTATTCGTGGACTGCTAAGCTTCTATTGTGCCTAGCTATTCGTGCCTATCCCACAGAAATTATACAGTATACATAGATGCCCAGGAATTTTTGAGACCTTGTTCTGATCAGAACAGACTTTGAAAAAACTCAGAGTGTTCTAGAGTACCACTCTAAACCGCACTAGACTTTCAGACTTGTATTAATACCCTGCATAACAAGTTTGAACAAAATGGGTGCAATTTCCTGTGCTTTACCGCCAACGCCGACCCACCACTGTGCGCTAGTGTTTACCTTTCCGGCGATATCACGGACCCTTTTCCCACCTGATTAGTCCATTCCTAAAACTTGAGATTTTTCCATCATTATCCATCCATGGTGGTAATTCCATCCTGATTCGTCCAACTTAGTTCATTCCTGATTATCCATTAGTGATTTCTAGAGATTCTTTTTCACATCACTGGCGTCCTGTCTTATCAACCCCCCTGTCAAGCGGGATATTGTCGAAGGAAGTCAGGATCGGGGCACGGGAAAAGGGAACTCCGATGTCGATGCATCGGGAGAAACTCGAGGCGTCAAGGGAACATCTGGGTAGACCATGACTATCCATGACTGTTATTTGTTCTATTTTCTTCCTCCCATTGAGATGAACTGAACTCAAAACGTTTTCCTGGATCCATGTTGCATAAAAGTGCCGACACATCCCTGAAATCTTTTGATGAAACAAGAAGATTTCTCAGCTACTAGTAACAAGAACGCTACTAGGTGGAGGCGATCGCTATTAGGTTGGAGGCCATCGCTACGAACGGAACAAGAAACGTTCGAAGATGTTCTCAACCGTTTGAGCCGGCTCAACATCGCCCGGTCATCTTCGGGTTCAACATCGAACATGGAACGGACCGGCCACACCCTGGGCCACGCGTGTGTTCGTCTCCAGGTCACCAATTGAGACCTCTTCGGGCCCAATAAGCCCCCCCATTTCGGAGACCTGTTGGAGGGTCGGGTCATGGTTGATCCCTTTGTTGAGTTTCCCGGAACATATTCCACTCAGAAACCTGACCAAACAAGACACCCCCTGGTTTTTATGATATTCAGTCAAAGTGAGATGCCTTCAGGTAGTTCCAACATGTTCCAATGTGGTTTCAGGAAACTGAAACTGCATGAAACCTAGGCCTGATTTGTACTTCACAGGGTTTTATATAAACAAATATATATATATATACTTAAACACAGTAGACCGTCTAGACCCTTTATATAAATGACTGTTACAGTTCATGGGAAACGCACAGTTTCTACATCAGTGATGGAAAGTCAACCCGGTCTTCCCTCTCTTTGGCCTAACTGGGTCGGCCCAGGAGGCACAGAGTTGCCGCTGTGAGGAGGGGAGGGGACAAAGGTCAGGGTCAGCTGTTTGTAGTTCGGACCTCTCTGTTCGATCCATGATGCGGTCACTCAAATCAGGCGATTTGAGTGCAGGTGATTGCATTCTACTTGTATACAGACCCAGTTCTCGAAAATCAAGAGGAACCTAGTCATCCACTTCTATCTGGCGTTGTGAAGCAGTGAACTGTTCAGGCAAATCGCGTGCAGAAGTGGCGCGCCCGTTTTGGCAGGGGTGATGTCCGTTTTGGGGGGCCATCACAAGAATCTGGAAAACAATGAGAACGAGAGTGTAGGCCTTTTGTCTTGGCACATTGGAACACCTGGTGTTGCTTAAGGTGATTTTGTATTTTCTTTATAGACTATAGGTGAACTCCCTTTTTTCCCGAGATTCCTTAAGCAAGTCCAAGGAAAGCCGTTGCATTTGTGTGGCGTTTCATCCATTGTCGGTTCCCTGACAATAACAATTGGCCCATCAGAGCAACTCCCCAATAGCCTCAATCCGCAAACGAAACTGTGGAAGAACATGAGCGATCAAGACCTGAGTAAGTAAGACAGGCAAAGCTTATCAGACACAGTGCACAATTCCCTTAATGCGTGAGAGCCACTCTTGATCTGGTCTGATAGGTGTGCTTTTGATCCAATTCTGGAATGTTCCCTACAAACAGGTGGTATGAAGAGTTGTCGTGAATTCTGGTGCTGTGAAGGAAACTGAATTCGACCGTTTCAATTCAAAGGATTGATTTGGAAGGGGAGGGTATGAATATCTTCAGCCCGAAGGACGAGTTCCGCTCCCGAGGCGGATGTTGGAATCATATAAGCTAGCCTCCGAAAGCGGAAGGTTTGGCAACGTCATGGACTGGAGTATCCACCCACGTCACCATGAGTTTCTGACGAATACCCCCTGCGAGTTGCAGAAATTCTGTTCTCGTGAGTGTGTTGTGTTCTCGGGTCCGGCTTTTTCACTGTGGCTTGGATGATGCTGCTCATGTCTTGATTGATCCATATAATATATATATATATATCCATATTGACCATATTGCCGGAAAGCAATTCCTGTGAGTGTGAGAGAAAAAAGATCCCGTTGCTAAGTTTGCAGGGGTAGTATCTTGGGGAAGGGCAGCGGTCCGACCTGTCCAGTTATTAGAGCGTTGTTTTGCCGTCAAAGGGAAGTGGACTATCGGATAGGACTGGACTGGATAGGACTGTAACAGGACCACAGATCCAGATGGACGACCCAAAACGACCTGAAACATGCCACACTTCCAATGCTCCGACTGGATCTGTGACACTAGGAGTTCCAACGGGAGTGCCTTGAGGCGCTGGACGCAGGCGCGGACGTGCCGGCACCGCGCGCGTTCGGAGGATGGAGGGGCTCGGGATGATGAAAAGAACCCGCCACTTGCGGGTCGGTTGCGAAAGGTATCTCCAAGCTTGGTCGGTTTTGAGTATGAGCTCGTTGTTCTCTCTTGCAGTTTCCATGATGGTCCATGATTCTATTCAAGGCCCCCACCGTCATGGGGACATGGGCCATGGCCGTGTTTGACATCGTTCAACCCATCGTCATGCAGACCATACCGATCCCTACAGACCGACCATACCGTGTGACGAGAGGAGCGAGACTTCTGGAGAGATCCTCGAATGGCGACATCTTTGTTTGGATTGTTGTTATCTTGTTCTGCGGTCGCCGGCTCCTCCCCCTCCTCCTCAACTACCTCCTCCCTCCCTCCCTCCCTCCCAAATTCAATGGTGGTTGTCTTTCTGTGCCATAAGACTTAAGACCCTGAGCAGTGGCGAACGAAAGTGGAACATCAGGTGTTCAATCAAGTTTGTTCGTCCTGCCAGCCGGGCGAGGAAACTCCTTTGAGCCGACCTTTGATTGGATATCTTTCGCCTGGGTCATGACTGGCAACTGTGACCCCTTTCACATGCGATCCCTTACCTCGTTTAAATCTCCTAGATACTCGTATAATTGCTTTTATATACTCTTTTACTCTTTGATGTACTTTTCTACTCTTTCTTTCTGTGTTTTGATTTTCTCTGTTTCGCGACACTTTTCATTGTGAAAGTTTTAAGCTTTAAACGCCAATGCACAAAGACTTACCAAAGATGACACTGGGGAAGAGCCATGGAGGCTCAAAAGGAGCAGGTGTTATTGGAGCAACACTTCTTCCCGGAGAAGTTGCTCCCGATCAGCCTGAACAAGAGGCTTTGGGTGTGGCCAGTGCGGTCTTTGCCACAGACCGCTACATGGCAAGGCCAATGGGCAGTGGCTGAGGTGTGGCTTTCCTTGAAAGAGCGAGAGGTTGTTCCTGGCCAGGAAGAAGCATCTGCATAGACTGTATTAAAAGCGTACAAGTAATTTCCAGTCTTTCCAGAGTGTGTTAGACTGGTTTCCTCTCGCAGATTACACCACTCGATCACAGGATGTTTGAATAATGTACAGTCTGGCTACAATGAGTGGAACGAGCCACGTGTGTGGCGTGTGTGGCGTGGACCCGCAACAAGTCGGGGTTAGCCAATGGCACGGACAGCTGACCCTTACTACACGGCGGTTGACCCCTGTGGGCATACAGCAGCTGATGCGCTTGGGAATTATGCCTTTCATGGTGGTGCATGGGAGACCAGTTGGTGTGATGAGACCTGTTTGGCGGCAATCATTCAGCAGCGAGAGCTATATTCCCTTTTTGTAACTCACGCTACGAGAACTCCGGGGCCTTCTTTGACTGCGCACTTCGTGCAGTGCTTGAATGATTTTGTGTCCAGCAGGTTTGTGTCTGTTGGTAACAGGTACAGGTTTGGTGCGGCAGACGTGTGGATCAAATAGAGTGCACAGCGTGTTCATCACACAGCGGCCCTTGCATTCCATGGTGGAAAAGCTTGCCGGAGAAGATTGCCTGGCTCAAAAGATCTTGTTTGACGTTGGCTCGCAAGGCTCACAGGATGTTGCAGGAAAATCAGATTCCTTCACCACTTCAGCGCCTCCCCAAACCAGACCCGCTTCCCCGTCCACCCAACAGACAAAGATGGTTGGAATGGATTTGCGGCCGTGTCTGTCAATTGTTCTTCAGGGTTCTCAGAAATTTCGCAAGTGCTGTTAGAAAGTCCTTGCTCTTTGATCCCCGCTTTGCTTTCGTCTTTCGAAACGGTTTCATCAAGCACACAGAAGTTCAGATGCTCCTGATGCCGTTTTCAGCTTCCATGTTTCGGCGGGGAGCGCAAGTGCAAGCATTATTATGTTGTTGGGCACGGGGAAGCAAGAATGTTGTTGGGGCACGGGGAAGCAAAAACAAACCATGATGTCAGGGTACGGGGAAACCAAGAAATCAATCCCTTCAATCTGCGAGAATGTTCCAGCAAGGCTGATGTTTTTTTTGCGCAAAATTTTGAGCATGAGCGCAAGCTCCCTTCCAATGAGCCGGATTCGTTGGATTCTTCAACGCTTTCGGAACACGACTCCGAGGAGGATGTGAATTGTTTCCCTGATGTAGCGTCCAGCGGGGATGACGGGTGTGACCGCTTTAGTGATTTAGCCACGGCTAAATGATCACACATATCGAGGCCACAGGGTTTATTTTTGGACTTTACCATTTTCTGTCCAACCCAATTGTGTGACTGCAGAGAACAGCGCCAAAAAGGAAATCGCGCGGAAGTTCAAAGCTGTTTACGGTGATTCAATTTCTTTCTACGCAGTTTTCAATTAGTACCACCCGGGCAGCTATATATGCATGAAACTGAAGAGACGAGTGAAGTGGGTGAATCTTGCTCGAGAACTTCGAGCCCATGGCATGTTTACGTACCTGAGCATCCCAAAGCTTTTCTTGGACTTTTGGCGTTGCCTAGCTTTTTGTTATGTGCCCAGTGCGAGGAAGCCTTTAGCAGAGCTTGATCCTGACCCTCTTTTGTCTTCGGAGTTTCCAATTGCAGAGCTTGAAATGTTGAAAAAAGAACCCGCACACTCAGACTTTGGATGATTGCATCGCCTTCGCTCAAGAACAGCAAAGCAAAGGTCTGGGCCAATTCATGCAGTTTATGGCCCGTCAAGGTCCGAAAATGGGTCCGCAGTTTGTTTCATGGAGACGGCTCATTGTTGGGCGAAACACTCAGAAGTCTCTGCGGGACGCAGGACTTGCAATTTGGTCTCAAGCTGCGCAGTCAGATTGCGTGTGCCCGTCTGTGAAAAATTGTAGCAAGGTCTTGACAACTTGGTGGCCTTTCATGAGAAGGACGGTGAAAGGTTTGCTTTCCTTTTGAAGCGCATGATCAGATTGGCCACAGCCAGCGGGCGTAAGCGCAAACATTGTTTGTCAAGACCACTCATCACCATATACAATCATCGGTGCTTCTTGCGGCCAAACCGTGGCGACACCTTTTGTCTCCAGGGTCTTGAAAGGTGTCTGGCGGCGTGCTGGCAGGATTATAGACACGCTTTGTGCCCAATACCTTGGCATACACTTTTGTTGCTTTTGGAAGGTGAATCGGTTGTGGCTGCTGTGAAAGGATCCTCTTCGGTGGTTGTCGAGACGGCCCCCCCAATCACATGTCAAGAGAAGGTAATGCCTGTGTCAGCGAAAGGGAAGCCAGATGTCGCTGAACATGATGCTTTCCACAACCGGTTTTGTTTGAAGTTGCACTTTAAAAAGCCGTTCCCAAAGGCTTTGCAGGAAGCTCAAATAAAATTGGCGTGCAGTTGTGGATCTTGCTATGCTCGTTGGGTAGATCGCAATGCTGCAGCATATGCTGCCAGAGAGCCAGACCTTGAAGCCGAGACTTTGGCCATGGAACATGGGATTTTTGGAAGAAGTGAAGGTGTGGCCAACACGCCGGCCAGCAATGCGGAGCCAGAGAATGAGGTTGCGGCTGTTCAGCCCTGTAGTGAGGCACAGAATTCCAGCAGTGCCACAGAGGTATCCGGTCAATCTTCAGATCAGACAGGTTCTTCTTCGCAGGCGCAGTCTCACCCACACAGTCTTTCCCCCGAAGAGATTAGAGCTTTGAAAGCTGAAAGTGCATTTGTTTCCCATCAAACGGCAAGTTATGCAAAGTCTTCTTTGGGGCCGCTGCCCTTTCCACCAAGTTCCTCTTTCGCCGCGGCCAGCTCTTTGAAATATGAAGATGCAATGACGCCGACGAAGCGTCTGACCAAGCGGTCACATGCTTCGGAAAGCACTCCTCCTTGTGTCGAGCCATTCACCCCTGAGGGCGCTCCTCCTTGCGTTACGGAGTCACGTGCAAAACCAAAGGCCAAACCAAAGGCGAAAGCTGCAGCAAGGGACTGGTGGAAATGCTGGGTGAGTGGCCACCGTTTCTAGATTTGATTTTGCACCAATTGGCTGTTGACCTTTAAGAGGTTCTGCTTGCCCTGGGCATACAGCCGCTGATGCGCTTGACAATCCTGTTGCGGCCGGTCTTGAGAGGAAAAAAACTTACGACGGGCCCAGAAATCATCAGTTAATTTTAGGGTGCCATGAGCAGACATGTGGAAGTGCACCGCCAGTAGTATTATACAGATGTATAACATGTTGTTTTTCTGTTCAAACAATCATCCTCTCTGGTCAAATAGGACTAGGTCACCTCCGGCCCCTTTCACAAAGACCTATCACTTTTGGTTGACTCTTACTCTTGGGTTAGACTTATTTATTCATTAACCCCGCTTGCTAAGGCCATATCCTGGCCGATATACTTTCTGACCTTACGGAGGAGACAAGATTTGTGGGTTCGCCGGCCAAGCCATGCAACAGCAAGTTGAGCTGGAGCAAGTGCAGATGCGGCGGGCGCGACCAAGGTTTCGGGCAGTAGTGCGAGCATGGCTCCGCCACCTACTCCTTCTAAGAAGGAATTCGTGGTGGTGACGCCAAAGAAGGAAAAGGAAGAAAACAAAAAAAACAAGAAGGATACCAAGGCAGCTGACAGAAAATCAGTGATCAAGAAGTAAAAGAAAGTGCAGTGAACATCAGTGCGCGAATCTTCGAACAGACTAGAGTGCAGTGCAGTACACGCGGTGGTGTGAAAATGGGTTTTAGGTTTCTTTCCGCTGACTGATCGTCATGTTGATTACAGTAATAGGTTCCTCAATTGTGTGAAACTTCGACTTCAACCGCAAATGCGACCCCAAAGCATGCTCCTTACAAGGTCAAAAAAACTGGCTAAAGAGGTTAGGGGGTCACAAATGCGGAGTTTAAGTGCACTCCCTGACTGGGTGGAAGACCTGCATAACGCATAAGTGATTTGTGCATTTTTGCATTTGCTGTGGCCACTAGTCTCAGTTTGAACTCACTCACGTCCCACTCACTCACTACCTCCCTCCCTCCCTCCCTCCTCCCCCTCCTCCCTCCTCCCTCTTGCCTTCACAAGATGCACCATTACTAGACAGGTTGTGCTACACATGTCCCTTTGTACAGTTATTCCTTTTGTTCATCTATTAAATTATGTTTTTTAATCTACCATTTTTGGTCTGCAGACCGTTTTAACATGTGGGGGTATGCGGTCCCGTAATTGTGATGCGGGGCGGATCAGAATGACCAAAAAAACAAATTCAACAGTGCCTTAAGTGGATCTGAGTTGCCACTCCGCAAAAAAAACAGATTTTCCTAGGTTCGCAGTTTCATCGGTTTGTCTCGCTTGTAATTAAGTTACTGGTTGCCTACTGACCTGGTATGTTTGCCTGCCTTCAATGCTGACCAACCTGGTGAGGTCGAGATGTCGCAGAGCGGAGCGCTCAAGACTGCGTCAAGGTGCGAGTGGAGGGTGCGACGGGAACCAGGACCCTGGCCAAGCTGGCCATTGGCACCCTGGTACAGGTGGTTTCTGGGCACCCAATTTGGACCTTTTTTTTTTGCGTCCCAAGAAGGCGTTGGCTGGTTTTGGAGGACTTGCAGTGACATTGGCAGAAACCATCGGAGGGGGGTGGCAAAACCCATTGGCAAAGATATCTCGTCCGTAACATGCCCGGTGACGTATGAGACAAAAACCTAGTCCTTTTTGCGGGGAACCTTTGTTGAACCGGTTCGCAGACCGTCGTTTGCCGGCTCTGCAGGTTGGTGAATGCCGTTGAGCAGAAAATTTTGTGGATTTGTTTTTCTCATATCCTATGTGGTCCAATTTCTTGGCGGTCGAAGAACACTTGGTCAATTTTAAAAGATCATGTTGGGTTTGTCCTATTTCCTGCAACCATGGGTAAACACATATCATTGGAGAAGGGCCTGCAACTGAACCATCATCCACTGGGCCCTGATAATGGGATATACCCAACGGGTCATGTTGGATCTTCAAGAGTGATATACTGCACAGATCCCCATCAGTACACTAAATCCCCCACTTGACGATTTGGGAGTTGAATCATTGGATCATTTCAACCTACCCAGACACTCCATGTATGCCATATATGCTTACATTGGGGTGGTTGAAATGGGGTCGGCAGCACATATGCCATGCGTGGAGTGTTTGGGCTACACGGAATGGGCCGAGTCACATGGGCGCTGACAGAAATGCGTCTCGATCATTCCTTCGGCGCCTTTTTGGGCGAAGTCGAAGAGGTTGAACAGTCGGAAGGATGGGTCCTTTGTTCCCATCCAACGGTCGACGTCTGTCCTTTCAACGCCACTGCGTCTAGTATAGGTCGAAGAATTTGTTCGATGATAGACATTCAATGGATCAACTAGGATTCAAACATATTCCAATGGTCAAAAAGGAGCACATGTTGGTTCAATGACAATGAAAACTTTTTGAAGTGGATGGTTCCAACACCCACTCTAGACACCCAGTTTGGACGGTGCCACGTTGGGAACGAAGTCGAGCTCCGAAAGACTTGGGAACTGAGAAAAAGACGAAGAAAACCTGCTGGGTGATGTGGAACATATTTAGTTTGTCTTAATTATGATCCTTCTGTACATACCATTTCCAGTGGATCCCACCCTAGCACGATATAAACCAGTGGCCCTTGAAGATCCTTGAAGTATCTAAGCTATCCATTCTCAGCCTTACCATGAACTAGCTTCAAACCGGTGACCTCCACCACCCGCGCCTGACTGACCGTCGTCAATGGCGCCTATCGCTCGTGACGCCCCGGCAAAGACGACCCAGGCCCTGGAGGAACACATGGCCCGGGGTCGGAAAGAGGTGGGGACCAGACAGGACGGGACAGGGCTGACAGCAGGGAGGGAGGGCCGGGGGCCCGCTGTTTCAAAGCCTGCCGGCCGGCCTAGAGTAGCGTGATGACGACTTGAAGTCCTTAAGGTGTATGATGGTTTATGTTAACTTCACTTCTCAGTGTTGTTTTGATCGGGCTCATGGTTGAAGGACTGCCTAGCACAGTTGAGATTGGGTAACCGCCTTTTGGATCATCCAATGTAAGTTGATTGTTCTTGGACTGGCGGGGTGCCAGAGCACTAAAGTTGCATAAGCGTAAGATCAACTTGTTACCATCCCATAGCCTCATGTCCGATAAGATTCTAATTCCAGATCCCAGATCTGTATCTGTTCTTAATGCACTTGCCTGGTCAGCCTGATGAAAAATCAATGTGCTATGATACACAGCTATCCACGGCTCAGAACTTCAGAAGCCGCCCATGCTACTCGAATTTCTGATCATGTTGATGATCCTGAATGCTGTGGCTACCGTGAGCCTGGTATGCTACATGATGAGCAACCGGGGAGGCCATAGGTCGCCGCGTTCACGCTCACGTTCGAGAAGCCAGTCGCCCCGTGATCGATCTCCACGAGATCGCAGGGAATTGAGGCGGAGGGTGGCAGGAGCACAATCAGCCTCAGCTGGGACAGAGTCTTCGGAACCATCAGTTCATCAGTTCCTTTGAAGCCACAGCCAAAGACACCCATTTGGTGCTCCAAAGCCACCAGCGAAAGCTGGTTTCAGTGGAGCCAAAGCGATCAGGTGCTGAAGATTCGCGAGCTCAAGGCACTTCTGGACCTGCTGCAGTGGCCCCTCCACGGCGGAAGGATCCAGAAGGTGTCCGCTTGTTCAGGTCATGCGCGAATGAAGAGCCGGCGGCGGTCAATCCCCTATAATTTAGCAATATTGTAAGAATGATTAATACCAATTAATAAGAATATAATTCATATATAGTTGCTACATGTTACTACAAAACAATTGATGTGACACCATTCGGGTATTGGGGTGTTTTTTGCTTGTGTTTTTGATTCTTATCAACTGTACCTACATGATCCACTGACACGGTGGGTGATTTGACCCCTATAGTGCAACCTCCATTCCGACGAAGCCAGGCTAGCAAGACGTGCCACTCTGTCGAGTGCATGAGGCGCTCTTCGGATCCCTTTGTGCGTTCCTGGCGTTGGGCGGTTTGGCGATTCAAGGAGGGTTTGGGGTTCAGACTCACCTTTGGAGGAAATCCTGGGACATGGAAAGGGATGAAAAGGGTTTGAAGAGGTCCACGCTGTTCATGTGGTTTTCCATGTGAATTACCAGGAGTCAAACCCCCCCAAACGACTGATTCTCACCTCTACAGGCTAGTACCTGTGCAGTTTCGCATGAGGATCATTGATTCCTCGCCAAGCCAAGTGAGACATACAAAACAGGTAAGAAAGTAATCTTTGCATGTCCGTTTTGGCCAGAAGCATGCTCAATCCACAGTAGAACGATAAGAAACAAACACGATAACCCTGCATAAGGATGGAGAGGAGGAGGGATGTTTACACAAGGGTTCTGTTTGTTGAGTATGGACTCCAAACACTCTTTGTCGGGTTTGCACCATAGAAACAATCACGCAGCGAGCCATGGAATGAACTGGAATGAATGGTGCTTAAGACTTCATGTTTGCACCACATGCATGCAGTGCAGTGTGTATTACAAAGCACTGAAGAAAAAACAAGATGGAGCCCACGAACCCAAACGCAAACACGTTCGAAAAGCTACATATGTCCAAATGACACTCTTGTAGGACACTCTTGTGGGACCCTCTTCTGGGACGCTCTTGTGGGTCACTCTTACACGACACTCTTGTAGGACACTCCTTGTGTGACACTCTTGTGGGTCACTCTTCTGGGACACTCTTGTCGGACATTCTTGTGGGACACTCTTGTGAGACACTCTTGCACGACACTCTTGTGCGGCACTCTTGTGGGTCACTCTTATGGGACACTCTTGTCGGACATTCTTGTGGGACACTCTTGTAGGAAACACTTGTGGGTCACTCTTATGGGACACTCTTGTCGGACATTCTTGCGGGGCACTCTTGTGAGACACTCTTGCAGGACACTCTTGTGGGACACTCTTGTGGGACACTCTTGCGGGGCACTCTTGTACGGCACTCTTGTAGGACACTCTTGTGAGACACTCTTGCAGGACACTCTTGTGGGGCACTCTT